GTCAGAGATACCGGGAGTCAGACACACCGGGAGTCAGAGACACCAGGAGTCAGAGACACCGGGAGTCAGACACACCGGGAGTCAGAGACACACCGGGAGTCAGACACACCGGGAGTAAGCGGACGCGTCACCATAACGCATGCACAGAAACTGATATTGGACCGATTAAAAGTTGTTTTTAAAAGACTAAAAGATCTCAATCCATGTCCAAAAACATTGCCGTGCGTTGAGGGCCCAACCCCCCCGCCCCTCGGGCCCCCCACACCCCCCCCCCCCCCCCCCCCCCCCACCCCGTGCGCTCAGCTCAGGGCCCGCGCGTAAAACCGCAGAAAGACCGACGATCGGAACTCACGTTCGGTGGCCATCATCACGACCGTCTCCGTGGTCGCGTGCTCGTCGTCGTCGTCCTCCACGAGCGCGTCCCGGTTGTCGTCCCCCAGCACGTCGTACTGGTCCAGCAGCTGCTGCAGCGGCGGTGCCTTGGGCAGCAGCTGCTGGACCGTGTCGCGGCTGATGTTGGGGGCCTCCTTCATCCGCAGCTTGCTCAGGATCTGGGACTTGATGGCGTTCAGGCGCATGGTCTTGATCTGCTGGCGCACGCTGCAGCTCGCGCACTGCTCCGCGTCCGGCGCGCCGCCGCCGCCGCCCGCGGCAGACGCGGCGGACGCGGTAGGCTGCTGCTGCTGCTGCTGCGGCGCGTCCTGCTCCCCCGCAGCCCCCGCAGCCCCCGGGGCCAGCACCGCCAGCAGACCGGCGCACAGCACCATTTGACACGGATGCATGTTTTTGGTTCAGGTGTGAAGCTCGTTAAGTCCTCTTTTTTGTTTGTTTGGGGGGAAGAAAGCGAAAAAGGATCCCGGAGCAGCCGAGGCGCGCTCTGCGTGTATAAAATGAGCCACACTTCCAGGCATCATACTTTATTAGCGCGCACCTTTTTATACTCCAACTTTAGCCTCTTTTGTGTCGTCAAAAACTATGATTGGCTGGACAGGCAACAATGAATTTTAACCGACTGACAGGGCGACTTTTTTTTTTTTTCGCTGTCAAGTCACGGAGGCACAGAGGCCGAGGGCATGTGCACAGATGCACGAGCTCGCTCCCAGTCCTGATCCTATAATACACACACTTTGGTGGAGTTTTTAAAACTTCACGCGTATTCAGTATCTTGCAACTCTGGCTGCCCTTACGCATTTGGTATTACGCATTTGGTATTACGCATTTGGTATTATGCTTACGCATTTTGGTCTTGAGGAAAAACAGAAACGGGAATAATTAAGCCAATTAACGTGTCAGTTTGCGTCAAATTAGTTCACGAAAAGCACCTTGTTTTTGGGTTATAAACCAAATAATTACCGAGGGAGATTTTTTTTAAACTAATAATGACGCGAATTGGGCACTTTGTTCAAGGATTGTCCAAATCTTTGCAGATGCGTTCATTTAATGTAGATAGCACCATCATGTGGCAGGTCCCACATCACACATCACAAACACCCACGCGCTGTCATCCAGGGACATCAACACCAACAGCAACAACAACAACAACAACAACAATACTACTACTACTACTAATAATAATGATAATAATATTGGGAACCTAATAAGTTATATAACTAATATAACTATTTAACTATATTATAGTACTAATCTGTGTCAGTTTCTACAAACAAAAATGTCGATTTTATTCTAACTTTCTTTCTGACCTTGATGGAAGATTGCCTTAAGGCTCCCAGTTTACCCAGTCACCGCCAAATTTTTCCAACTGACTCAAGACAAACACAAATTCAGAATATTGCCTTATTATCCATGAGCACAACTTTATTTCTTTTTTCTCTTTTCTACACAATTCTAAGTTTGCTCATCCTAACTGACAACGATTGACAACTTCTGGCCTTTCTTCCTTCTTTTCTGAGGAGTTAGAATCATTTTAAATATGTTAACCAGTTTTGCTAAGTAGTATTCTATGGGAATCGTGCTGTTCAATCCAATCAGAAGCAAAGAAAAGGCAGATTTAATGATCAGTGAAAATGGAAATCTGTTTGTTTATGTTCCCAGGTTATGACTAATGTTGCATTTTTAATTTCTTCCCTAAATAAAGGTCATGTTACCAACTTACAGTCGGTCCAAAGTCCTGTCAAACAGTTATCTAAGCTCCCGTTTTACTTTCATATCTCACGAAATACGACTGGCTTATGATAGAATTTAAGATTCCACCTGGAAAACCTTCATCAGTCTGCTTTCAGAATAGTTTTGTGCGCAAAAACAACTTCAATCTCTCAGTATATCTGATTGAGGCTTGGGACTGTGGGTCCGTTGCCAAACTGTGCAGCGCTCTCTCTGCGGGAGTCGGCACAGTTAACATTTACTGATGCTGGGAGAGAAGCTGAGCAGCCAGGTCTTACATGACTTCATCTGGACTCCTCTCAGCTGCAGCGTTCTACTTTATGCTGCCTTATCCTCCTTAGCCTCCAGGACTTTAAGGCGTGCAAGAAAGATCATGTCTGATCCTTCTCACCCTGGTCACAAACTTTTGGAAACCCTCCCCTCTGGCAGAAGGTTGAGGACCATCAGGACCAAAACCTCACGCCATAAAGAAAGTTTTTATCCGGCAGCAACTGGCCTCATCAACGAGGCTAGTGACCCCCAACTATTCTTCTCTCACCCCCCTCTACCCCACTAATTTACCCAATGCTACGTTCAACTTTTTCTGGTTTGTCGTTGGACATTCAATATTTTATTTTATTATTTATTATTATTATTATTTATTTTATTTTATTCTATATTTTTATATTTTTATTTCTACATTGTATGTCGTTTCTTGAAGTGTTGTGCACCTAACACCAAATCAAATTCCTTGTAGGTGAAAAACCTACTTGGCAATAAACCTAATTCTGATTCTGATTTTGATTCTGATTCTGAAATGTTTTATTTTCTTAATATTTATTTTATCCTCAAACATTAAACTGAAGTTTTTAGTAAGAAAAGTAATGTATGTAAGAAATTACTCTAAATTAGGCCTCTAAATTAGGCCTGTTGGGTTTCAGAAAACCTAAACACTGCATCGGGTCTCTTTTGGGTAGACGGTCATATTTGATACATACGGTTTCTGAAATGTTTTGCGTCTGACACCTTTTGCATGATTTAATGGTAAAAACGTTGCTCAAAATCCTATTGTATTAATATTAAAATTGTATTTCGTTTTTTTCTTTTTACATATTTTGTTAAAAGGCCAAATAAAGAATTAAACCCAAAAAAAGTAATTTTCTGATTTGTTTTATTCTTGGATCAGGCATTAAAGGGTTAATCTGGTTGACAGATTCGGTTGGGTTGGTGTGAATGTGCACCAATTTTTTTTTTTGGGGGGGGGGGGGGGGGAACGAGGCACAGATATGGATTTGTTTGCTGTTTGTTGCCTTGTAGAACTTTAGCCACCCTAGCTCCTTTGTGTTGGACTTAATAGGGGCGGCACGGTGGTGGTGTGGTGGTGGTTAGCACCTAGGTTCCTGGGTGGACTCCCCGGATGACCGAGGCCCTTCTGTGTGGAGTTTGTATCTGTCTGCATGGGTTCTCTCCGGGTACTCTGGCTTTCCAAGTCCAAAATCATGCATGTTAGGTTAATTGGACACTCCAAGTGGGCAAAAAGCGTTTTATGTCAGGCCGCGTGCGGTTGCTTGTCTCTGTGCGTCGCGCCTCCCGCCCGTTGTCAGCCGGGATTAAGCGGGACGGATGATGGATCGATGGCGTGACCTAAGGTTTTTCTCACCAATTTCGGCGCGTGGCGGCGTCCCCACGTGCGTCCGGCAGATGGCAGCGCCGTCGCGCGTTGACGCGCAAGCCGCCTCCCGCACGCGCGCTGCCACCCAGACCCGCCGCGTGCCGTCTCGCCGGTAATCTGCGTGGAGAGTCGTGCACCGAAGTCCGTCCGGACCGGACCGGACCTCAGAGCTCCAGTCTGAGGGCTGACCGACGCGAATACAGCCAGGGAACCGCTGCACGACTCACCAGGTTCGGACGGATTATTATCACCATCCTTTTTTTTGTGTCTGTTTGTTTGGGTTTTTTTTTTTATAATCCCTGTGAGAGATTATCTAAGAATCTGGCAGGGAGCACTTCATCCCGAATAACAGAGCAGAAAACAACTGGAGGGACGCGTCTTTTTTTGGGGGAGACTGCTCCGTCAGAGGGGCTGAGCGCAGCCGCTGGACGACACCAGATGATGTCCAGACTGCCCACTTCATCGACCTTGGGTTATCTTTTCCGTGGCCGGATCACTCGTGGCTGGAATGGAGGAAAAGTAGGACCTATCTGCTTCACTCTATTAAAAAGTAAGTGCATCTTAAATGGAAATCCACCCAATGTGTTGACGTTCATTTATCCAGCCTGATGTTTTTGTGGTGCATGTCAGTACCCAAAAGGCTCCAAGAAGTCATAGATCAGGTTTAATCCACAATGGCAGGCATTATTATTATTACAGAGAGGCATTTACTGCCTCTTAAAAATAATCAGGCAGCGTGAGCTGGGGAGTGGGATTTAGTGAAAGATTACTATGTTTACGGCCAAATCTCCGAGTCTTCCCTCACTAGGAGGGAGACTCCCCTCTCTGCATTAATCATTCATGGCCTGCATGTCGTGTGGACGGCCCCCTCGGAAGGAAAAACACATGTCTGCTGTGTGTCCAGCGCCCGGAACGCCGGAACGCCGGAACGCCGGAGCTGTCACGGCGAATCAGGCTGCAGAGGCTCAGTCAGAGGGGGCAGACGGAGGGGGGGGGGAGAGGGCCAGACGACCACCTCAGTCCACTCCGGCAGGACCCAGACTGGCCTGTGTCATGTCCGGCAGGGGGACTGGGTCGTAAAACGCTCTGAGGCAGAGGTGGGGGGAGGTGAAGGAACCTAAAGAGAGAGCGAACCCCTTTTTTTATTACAGCGTGACTCTTTTTGAGTATGACGGTGAGGGGAGCCCCGGCAGGGCCTTGACCTCCGGCCAGCTGCCTCCTGGTCACCACTGGGGAGACTCAGTCAAGAAAAAAAACATCTTCAGGCTTCTCGCCATCTGCCGTGTTTAGGGATGTCTCGGGGAAATAAACGTCTAAAGCTGTTCATTTCTCTCTTTTCTCTCCACAGTTGAGGGAGGGGTCTTTTAAAGCCGACCATGGATCTGGACTCTCAGTGTCCCTGCAGCCGGACCTACACAGAGATGGATTTCGCGGCCTTTCGCCCCTTCACATCCTTCAGATCGGCTCCATCCTCCGCGTAACCCCCCCCCCCCCCCCACCCCCACCACCCCCCCGTTGTCAGTTGTGCTCACACAGACATGGGTGGATGACAGAAGCCCGGAAGTTTAAAAGCCGAAATCCAAGCTGAAAATGTGGAAAGTCTGAGCTGGAGACCTGACGGATTCCCACTCCTGGTTTCCTTAACACCCCCCCCCGAGGGGGAGTCCATGCCACACACCCCCCCAGAGCGATGGGGTGTGTCAAATCCAAGAGGAGCGACCTCGCCTCCCAGAACGCCAGCTCCGCCGCGGCGGACAAGGGGCCGCGGGGGGAGCGGGCCTACCTGGTCCCCTCGGAGGGGGGCCCGGCGGAGAGCCCCCCCCAGGTGAACCCCGTCCTGCTGGAGTACGCCCAGAAGCTCTCGGAGGAGATCGTGGCCCGGGCCGTGCAGCAGTGGGTGGAGGTGGACAGCCGCTACAGCGACATTCCCTACATCGAATGCGACGTTCCGTGACACGGGGGGGGAAAGGACCCCCCCCGATTCCCGGGGGTCAGAGTTCACGTTGCGTCCTAAACGGAATCATACAAACACAGAGCGAGAGAGAGAACGAGATGTCAGTAATGGGGTTTTGATCATCTTTTGAAAGGGATCGGGAATCGGATTGATCCCAGTCTTCCGACGAAAACTCCCCACTCCCCTCTACATCTTTTCCTATCGGATCTGGAAGTGTCTCCAGTTGAAGATCGCCTTTCTCCGTCCATATTTATATCTTCCCACTAGGTGCCGGTTGTCCGTCACCCAACTCACAGAGCAAAGCGAGAAATCCTATCAGATATTGCCCGGAATCCCGATGTTCCTCCTTGCCAGGGAAACCCGATCCCGTCCGCCGTTGTTGTCCTTGGGCCAAGATTCTCTCGTCTCATGGAGAAAGTTATAAATAGACGCCTTCGTTTGGTGAAGGCACCCGCTTGAAAGCCCCTTACTTGGTATCACCGTGACGAAAACACAACCATTTGTCTGACGTGCTCCGGTCGGACAAAAGGATCCGCGGGATGGAAGGATCCCTCCCAGGAGATCCCGCGGTGGACCAGAGTGGACGCCGTGTTCAGTCCCGCTTATTTCACTGCCCTTCGTCTAACAGTCAGGGTTTTTTTCTTTCTTTTTTAATGATTCCAGGAACTCATTTGATCAAATGTTGGTTTTCCTGCCGTCTAATGTATCGTTCCGTAAACAAAAAGTTAGTTTGGGAAACCTTGGGAGAGGCCGGACTCCTCTGGGACCTGCAGCTCTTAAACACAGCGAAACCAGAGCAAGAGAAAAGGACTTGCACGCTTTTCAAATGTTCTTCTTCTTCCTCTTCTTAAACCAGGTTTAAAAAAAATTCTAAGGGGATATTGGTTAAAGCTTTTGTCAACATTGTGTCTTTGTAATGGTTAAAAAACAAAACTGCCACCTGTCCTGCAGAGACCAAAAACTCAAACAAGTTGACCTTAAAACCTCTGAAAGTTCAGTTTCATATGTGAGGGTAATCTTATTTTTGATAATTATTTCATGGTCAGCGTTCTACCTTCAGTAGACACAGAAATCAAATCAAACCTACAGAACTTCAGAGCAACAAAATATATATATGCATTTGCAAAACGCATAGCTATAATTTTTCCTTTTAGCCCACATCTAATGGGCATTTGTTGATTACCAGACTGGTACCACGGAGCAAAAGCTGCTGCAGCTCAGTGTGTTTCTGTTCGGAACATTTATTGTCGAGGTCAGATGGTCACAAAGTGAACAACAACCGGTCGCCGACGTGACAAAAATGTGATATTGATCCAGAAAGAACTGTTCTTCTCATGGCCCCATTTTGGGTTAGCTTGACTCTCCCGTCATGTGTTTTTTTCTCTGATTCTCCAAACTGAAAACGTCAGGCTGCTATCTGCTGCAGACCGGATACTGACTTCTTAGAATAACTTTACACATGATTACTTAAAAATATGAAGGAAATGCTCCAAAATAGAGGCTGTCTTTACATACTGGACTAGATCATAATGGAATCCTCAGCAATTGTCACTATGAGCCATTTTACAATCAAAGGAACCAAATTCAGGTCTGATAATTGCTTTGTGTTGACACAGGAACGGCCAAAAGAAAAAAAATCTTCATGCACAAGAATCTCAAATTGACACTTATAGTTTTGTAGTTATGGAATTATAGTAGAGATCATCAAAACCAGTAGCAATTATCAGTTGACAAGCCATAAAATGATGTGGGTGGATATTGTCACCACTTGCCTTCTCCAAAAAAGACTCCAAAAGGAGTTTGTGCGTCGACAAATTACAAATACTGATCAAATATAGGTGCAGATCACATTTTCTTAAGGAAAACTAGCCATTACAGTGACCGCAATGACTCTTAGTGGAGGGTGTCGTAAACCTCCTGGCATTTCAGAGTCACAGTTTACAAGTTTTATTGTTTCTGTGAGCCGATTAAGTGAAAAGCTCCTGACAACAGGAGGCTTGTTAGAGGAAACAAAATCATGTCCACAAAAAACTACCCAAAAACTATGCTCCACGCTTCATTGACATGCACATAGAATTTGCATTGACCTACTTTCTGTATTTCTCTGGGTCTTTCTGAACAATGTGTAAGGAGCTCAACCAAAATACAGATTGCTGACATCATAACTTATTTGAATTAGCACCAAAAAGGCTGCTTTCAGGAACTTAAGTCGGAATTCATAGCCGTGTTGGGACAGTATGGGGGATCAGACATTGTTCAGTTAATCAGAATCAGAAATACTTTTATAATCCCAGAGGGAAATTAATTAAAGGGATTAAAGGTGCATACTTTCTTTATGATGATAATTCTGGCTGTATTTACAGTATGTCATCTTGAGTTTATTATTTCACATTTCCACAGGTTTATTGTTTTGTGAAAACAGTTTGACAGATAAGGTCTTCTTAAGGTTGTGTGAACAAAAACCGGAGATAACATCTTAAACTTAAAAAAAGCAGATTTACCACGCAGTTGAAAATCAGCCTTTCCAACAGCCATGTTTATTTATAATGTCAGGAGTCACACATTTCAAGGTTTATCGACCGGATGGGAGAGATTTATCACGACAAGGACCGGTGACCTGATTTATACAGCTGAGATGATGGTAGAGCAGCTGTACAGGTTAAATGACTTTATTTGGGAGGTGTCGATTCATTCCTGGTTGAAAAGAGCTTAATATTCGAGCTCAGGGCGATCTGATTCAATTGTTTTAGTAGTTTTCCAAAACTGCATAAGTTCATGACAGAAAAGCAAAGAAAATTTGGGAAACGTCCACCTGGCTTAGTTGTTGCAGCTCTGTATCCGCAGACTTCCGGCTCTGCTCATCTTTTGCTCCACGTTTGCGCAGTGACTCTTAAAAGATGTCAAAAAGGGATCCGAGGCTCTGCCCCCCGGGCCCCAAAAAAGGCCAAGCTCTTCCAATAAAGCTCTACGTACGCCAAGTAGTCCAGGTGGGCCTCATGGCTGCTCCACAGTGGGGGGGGGCGAAAAGACGGGCTGCCTTCAGGAACGAAGCACAATCAGCTTAATAGAAGATAGCATCGCCTGCTCTTTGTCCAGGATTTCTTTGTTGCCAAATAAGAGAAAAATAATCTGCAAGAAGCCGCTTTGTGAGATGATCCACACCGGTGTGTGAATACTTACCCACAGATGTCCTAAACCGACTGACTTTTTTGCTGTGTCATGGTACCCTGCTCATTGGACAAAAGTCATGCCAATAAATCGGTTTTGCCTTTAATCGGTGACATATTTCGTATCTTTTTTTTCATTGAATCTAATTGTGTTTTGCATCTTTCTTTAGTCCCAATAAATATTCTCAAAAGGCATTGGTGGTGCTTTTTGAGATGCGTTTCCTGGAGTGTGTGCTGTAAAACTCACCCGGGACGACATCCGGCTACACGGTGAGCACACAACGGGTCAAGAGTTCATCTTTTGTGGAAGGCAAACAAAAAAAAAAAGCATTTGGAATTTTTTTTTTGTTTGAGGAGCAAAGCCATAAAGCAGGAAGGCTGGTGTGAAATGCCGGGACAAACGGTCAGTGCCATGGTGGTTTATGGTCAGAGGACGTGAGCTGAGAAGAAGCCTCACAGCTTCCTGAAGGAACCAGAGGACAAGAGCTGAATGGTTTATTATGTAGTTTGGAGGAAAACTTAGGTTGTATGACAGAGAAAAAAAATCAGAACTCAAATTAACAATGTTGTAAACGAAGGGGATTTATGCTGATAATGCACACCTAAGGAAAAGAATTGGATTTTCTTTTTTAGATGTGATGTGTATCTGCTGATAGAAGCTCAGTTCTAAAGATTCACCAGGACGTGTACAGTAGAATTAACTGTCTTCAAACATTTAAAAAAAGAAAAAAAAAGAAGCATTTTCTGTCGTAAAACAGATTCTAACTAACACCTAACTTGTCCAAGGCTGACGTCCTATCTGAATCTGGTGGTCTCATTACTATTCCAGGATGTTCACAATCTCATTTCTCCTCAAGAAATATGAAGACCATAACAAAATCCTAAAAAGAAAAAATCATGGTGTCACAAATGACACTCTACTGAAACCAGACTTCTTTTTTTTCCAAATGAATTTCAATCATGTACATTTGTTTATTAACAGATATCGATAGCAGACTGATACCTGTGTTTAGACTCTAGGAAAAACTACAGAAGGCAGTCAAAAGAAAGGACAAATCCCGACTGAAACAAAGAGGGCACATTATGGGCATTAGAGCTGAAGAGCTCACCGCTGAGCCTCAGATGATACATACCCGTGTGGGTCACATCAACAAACACCCACGGGAAGTGGAGTAAAGCACTCTGGGTGGTGAGATCATTTCCCCTCCCGTGTCCCTGTGTGAATGTGGGGCTGCTTTTGGGTCCTTGTGTTTGCGGCAGATCGGCGTTATCGCTGTAAAACTCCTGGAGGGGAGACCACCTTTTACTTGTGTCAAACAGGGATCCCTTTAGCTTGCTCTTCATTTTCATTTGGGACGTGAAAGTGGGACTAGAGCTGCGGGAACAGCCTGTGATTCTCTTTTCTATAAACCACCGCAGGAGGACGATTGCATTTCCTGTATTGTGTTCCGTGTTAACAGCCCTGCCGCAGACTCAAAGCACTTTGGGATCTAACCTCTCTGAGTGTTAGTCACAGAGCGAGCGGGTCTCTGCTAGGACAGGAAGCGAGTGTTTGGAGGAGGCTGAGTGGGATGCGTTTGAGGGCGGGGAGCGTTTTGCTGTTGGGCAGACATCAGAGAGTCAGGTCCTTCTCCCCCAGCGAGGAGAAGCCCTCCGCCACGCTCCGGTCAGACACCTCCTCCAGCGTGGCCGGCTTCCACTTGGGACTCTGGTCTTTGTCAACCAGCACTGAAAACACACACACACACACACACACACACACACGGTTGGGACGTTTAGAGGGACTCGGACCACGTCGCTTCATCAAAAATAAAGATCATAAAAAGAGAGGACTAATAACTAACTGCATTTGATAACATTTACTGTTGGAAAATACAATCCTGATATGGAAGGATGCTAATTCTCAGCAGCTGAAAGCACAACTGTTGAATTTTAATCCTTTTATGTCTAAACTGAGAGTGTTTATACCATCAGTGGGTATGATCTTAAATTTTAAATAATCCTATATGAAAATATTGACAGTGTAAATATTATTTGTCAACTTAACAGTGCTTTTCATTCCCTTTTGGCCTTCTTGTAGTAACTTACCAGCTCGTACACCTTCATAGAAGTCAAAACCTCTCTGCAACACAACAGAAACAAAATATCCAATGAGATGATTTAAAACATATATGATTTATGCAAAAATAATATAATCATGTCATGCAAAACATCCATTTCAGATCAAATCAAAATGGCTGTGCCGTTAAAGTGATGATGATGAGTTCAACTTTGTCTGGCAGTAATCTGTGGTGATTTGAAATCAGGGCGTGACTAAGTGGACGCTGGTGGACGCAGGCCGGGGGCCTTTACCATGCAGGCCTGGGTCAGCCGGTACTCCATGACCAGCACCTCCTGCAGGCTCAGGGCGCCGCCCTCCTCCAGCTGCCGGTGGGTGATCTTCAGAGACGTGGGAGACATTTTGGACAGGATCTGTGGGAAGTCAAACCGGTGTTTGTCAGAAAGATTTGGTTCCTCGGACTGAAAGATGCTAAAGGCCTGATTTGGGGGTGAAAAACAAAAATAACAAACGAACCCAAAAAACCACACTGAGCTTAAAATGAAACTGATGGTTAAGGCAGGAAACTGGATGAATGGTGTAGAGTAACAGAGGGGGGTGGGGTTTATAAATATTTAATGACTCGACTAACCTTCACTGGTTGGAATTGATCTTGATACAACTTGAAATAAAAATGAAAGTGACCGTTTGCCCCAAAAAATCAAAAGCTAAAAATCTTGCTATATTTAAAGATGAAATTTAAAGATGATAAAAAAAAAGAAAAACTGAGCAGCTGCAGTCTTAATCTTGCACTAACCAGGAGAGGGAGGGAGGGGCATAACCAGGGGACCGGCAGGGTTTGTTAAGACTAAAGATAAACAACTCCTTCTCCTTCTCACTGGGCTAATATATGTAGCATGACATGTCACATGCGTTGTTTTTTGGAAGCATCCCAGATGTCCCTGGGAGGAGTGTTTCAGATTAAAAAAAGGCCAAGAACTTCAAAAGATTCTTAGCAGATAAGCAACCTCCTTTCACCAATAGAGATAATAGAGGTAGATTCCCAGATGATGCTTTTTTGGGTGTAGCAAATACAGAGTACGTGTAAAGAGGGTTAATTGAAGTGAATAAGAATATGTGAATTTGGATGACTGTTTTTGGTGAGTAGAGTCCCACAGGAAGGAGTCAGAGACTAAGCCCATTAAGTACTTAGACTGAGTTTATTTCTAATTCCCAACATGAGGCAAACGCTGCTCTGCTTTGGTTACAGTGCTCAATCTGGGTGTCGGCTTTTGGCTGGCGGAAGTGTACAGCTAGTCTTTCTGGAGAACAAACTGATCCCGACCCCGATCCGGATTCGAGGACCTACCTCGGCTTGTTTCTGAGCAAACTCCGAACCGTCTGCCCTCAAGTTCTGCACGATTCCTTCCACACTGGTGGAGCTGAACAGCCTGTTGGGAGAGGAGGGAAAACTTACTCTGAAAGGCCTGGAAATGATAAGCTTCAAGAAGCATAATTGTGGCCAAAAATCAATAAAAAACATTTGAATCCCCCAAAGAGCCACTGTCCACTGCACTAACCTCCTAACAACTAAAGAGCCTGACAATTTCGGAGGAAATTCTGGATGCGAGTCTAAAGTAGGAGTGAATGATCTTGATGTGGAAGTCTACTAATGGTCAGAGTGAGCCTCGAGTTTAAATTCTGAGGGACCTACGGTAATTGGTTCATATTCTGACTATATTCAGGCCTTACAGACTATGAGCATTATTTTGCTTACTGAAAACATTAAATAAAAAAAAGAAAGGCAATAAATTCAAAGTAATATTCTTATATCCCATCTTTTTTTCCTTCTAGAAACTTTTCTAAAGAGAAAACACAGCTTATCTTTGGGAATAAAGAAATGGAAGGCCTACCTGTCGATATCAGAAACGTGCTTATCCAAGACAAATGGCTTTCCGGAGTCTAGACTACTCTGTGGACAAAGACACCAGATAAACGTCAGGAAAACACACTTGTGGGAAACAAATAGTTGAGCTTTGGGAACATTAAGGAGGTAGAAAGGCGGGCTTAGTTTCTCACCTGGTCCTGAAAGAACTCTAGCACTCTGGAGACTTCTGAGTCAGAGGGAGACTTCAAATTCAATATCTCCTTCTCCAGGTCTGGAACCTATTGAGGTACACAACGAAAAAAACTGTGAAAAGACAAGAAAAATTGATTGGATTTGTTTTATCATTTCCGGAGACGTTGTACTAGTCTATGGTCAAACATGTCCACTCACTTATATACAGAAAGCTTTTGGACTGGTTTTGGTTTGGGCCAAAGATTAAAGAATGCAAAGGTATTGCCTCATGAGTTGGTCATTATTAAACAGGTTGAACACTTAAGAACACTAATGAAACTCCATCTTATTATTTTGACTAACTTTTCCCTATTTTCTGTTGAGTGTAGATGAGTTTCCATCCTTGATTCTGATCCGACTCCGGGCTAAAAATGGTCAAACTGCTAAACTTTCCCCAAAAAACCCAAGGTCAGCACTTTCAGCAAACTCTGCCTCCTGCCGTTCTGACTTCCTGCCAGCGGGAAGACGCACGTTGGGCCCGGTCATTATGCGGCCAGGCACCCGGTGGGGCTCCACACCTGGCTGCACGCCTGCCTCCCATACATCAGCCAACGCCAGAGAAAAAAAAAAAGGTTTATCACGATGGTTTATTGGCCAGCACCTTCTTGGACTCCACAAAGTGCGTGGCGATCCCGGCCCTCTGCACATCCCGTCCTCGGAGCCGGAAGCCGGTCAGAGCGAGAAACAGTCCCAGCTTCCCCTTGAGCCGTGGCAGAAAATAGCCGCCGCCCACATCAGGAAAAAGTCCTGGAAAAGCAAAACACAAAGCACTTCAAAAACAGCCTCGTATAGTTCTGACCCAAATGTAACACCTGCCTTAAAAAGAAAACACAAACAGGGAGGTATTTAAACGGGGAGGCTGGATAAGGACTGGATTCTTCTCTGGTTATTTTTCTGGTCTCGTTAAAAATACTGTGTAATATGCTGGCCTTATGTTAAAAAATGCCAACCCACGTCTCCCCAAAGTGATCCTACATGTTAGGTAGAGCTGTTACGCTAGTCTGAAAATCAAGTCTGTCTGGCTGCAGACTGCAGGAAGCCAAGGATGGATATCCAACTCCGCCCACATCCAAGTCGGCCATTTTGATTATGTCACCAATAGGAACATCCCAGGCAAGAAAATGGTAATTGCCTCATGGCAATAAAGACATTAATATAAAAATTGTGAAATTCATCTTGCAAACACTGAATAAACTCTATACATAATATTAGCTTAAAATATTGTATGTTAAATAGGTTTGTACAATAAGTCAAAACAAATTTAACCAAAAAATATTTATTTCTTACGATTATGAAGGGTGGAGGATTAGTGTTAGGTTTAGGTTTAGGACATCATTTGTCTTCCAATTTCGTATAAACAGTAAAGTTTTGTTTTCTACCTCAGAGAGATGCTAGTTGTTACACATGGTTTTCTCACATCTTTTGTAGTGTGGCGTAAGACACCAGAGGGGGGAGGTGAAGAGGAGAGCGGGATTAGATGCGTTGACCTGGTTTAGGCTAAAATGTAATATCATAAATGTAACAGATTATGGCAACTGCCATTCAGGATGCAAAGGGAGTGGGGGTAAATCTGTTTATCCCAGGGGGCACTTAATGCCTGTGATGTGGACCGCCTCTCACAGATGATTTGGGGGGTCCATAAACAGGGGCGGAGAACAGTTTACATTTTACAGTTTTAAATGAAGTTATACAGAGAAATTAAGTGTTTTTCTGCAAACAATGCTCAATCCACTCAGTCAAAAACATTTGACAGGCACCGCATTTACCGGTGGATTTTATTTTTGGCATCAAGAGTTGTTTTTTAATCAAGTAAAAGAACGAAAGCAAAATTAAATTAAAGGCAAGTTAATCGAAATTCTTCTGCTGCCTGTTTTTCCCGAAGTTTGTTTGGTTTACAACTACAACTTCAGTCTATTTTTCCGTTTAAAACGTGGTCACAGGCAAGTTAGCGCTGCAAAAGGTCGAGTTTAATTTGTTTCCTTATGGCAAATGCTATGAGAAGTCAGCCAATTCCATACAGAAAATCACAGGGCGGTTGTAGCTTAGCAGGAGGATAAGTATCTCCCAATAAGAAGGCAGTAGTTCAAGCTTTTGAAACACACTGGGAGTAAGATGGGTGGAAATGGGATGTAGTGTAACCCTAAACTAAGAAAAGTGCCCCATAAGAACAGTCAGTTAGTCTTTCTTTTTATTATTATTGGCTGTAAAATGAATCGTGTTACTGGAGAGCACAAGTGTAAAGATTGAAGTGCCACACTAGGTACTTATTCCTAACTTAGAAACATTGTTAAAGTTTGTTCTGAACAGAATGTCTTTTACATTGCAAGAACAAAAAATCAACAATAAACGTGAAAGTATATTTAAAACAGGCAAGTAAAATGATTTGACACCGTTGTTTATTGAATAAGGTGAGATTTAGGCAGATACATAGTTTACTGAGGAAATGCTATGGTAAGGAACCAAACTGGGGCTCATTCCTCCACTTTTAGCTCATCTTTATCTCTTTTTCCTGCATTTGGAAATGCTGGTGGCGCGTCAGACACCAATTGCTTTTGTACACTGACAATAATTTCTTCTCCTCCGTCCCCGTCCATGAGTCAGCTTAAGCAGATGACACAAAACAGATTACCTTACTTCTTTTTTTTTTTTCAGAGGAAGGCGGAGCAGCGGCGTGAGAGTCATTGAGGAACGGTTAGCAGCTGTGTGGAAACACGTTCACAGCCCGGTACAGTCCACATACGTATGGTCCAGAGAGGAATGGACCGGTCGTCTAAGCTATTTTTGTGAGAAGATTAAATCGGGATTTAATTAGATCGTAATGACAGTCTGAAAATGCTTTTTCGTCCTTTTTAAAGATGTGTGGAAAGTGTTCTGCTCTTTCAGGAAAATGGATAAATGTACATCTTTCCTTTATTGTGTTCACAAAAAGAACATCAAGGTGTCCAGTTTAGAGAAACTTGGATTTCTGTAATTTTGTAAAGACTTAATGTGTTTCCTTGCATTTTTTTGGTCACTAGACAGGTTTGGTCACTATAACATAATCATTTGCTTTTACAAATATTATTGAAAAGGAAGACAACCCTTAGTCCTTCTTCAGGGCCACAGAAGAATTCCAGCTGCAAGCAAAATAAGGAAGAAAAAAGCCTCTTTACTCTTCCCTGTCAGCACTGGGGGCTTTAGCTAGCATGATTCACTGTCCTGCACAGGTTTACTTAATGTTCAAAAGCCTGAAAAAGGCCTTAATTGGTCACAAAGTCAGCATTCACCCCTGGATTACTGATATCATTAAATCCTTTTCCAAGACATTAGAAAAACGAGTAGATATTATTAAATATGTCCATTTTGATTCCATAGAGCATGAATTTTTGAACATCTGCAGAGTCCATAAAAATGCCTCCACAGTAGCTGTGTGAATCTGTTTTTTTCATTTGAGCCTCGGAAAAAAAAAAAATTGTCACATTCTCCTTATCCTACAAAAGCTTCTTGTCACGTAACCACAGAAGACAAGCACCGGTGAATTTTCATCTAAAGCCTGCAGTCTTACCATTATTCAACATCACTGCCATCACAATATGCACCAACAACCTTGTTGCTCTATATTTGGAATTTATGCAATGTTTTAAATGACACTACATGGGTTTTTATTCCCGTTTGGGTGAGTCACATACAGAGAATTGAAAAAGATCAAACCTAGCTTATCTTTTTTTCTTTTTTTCTTTTTTTTCCTTTGACTTGGTTTAAACATTTTATGCCAGTTTTGGATCAAACAGGACATAGAGACAGCTGAGCTTACTGTCCTCATTTCAACTGCCAATGTGCACCTGGCTAACAGCATCTCTGTTTCCAAGTTCAGGTCATACATTTCAAATGTAGGAATCAAAATCTTCTTTCGGGCACACAGAACATCATAAAATAGAGGATTTTAGCTGATGCTCCAGTGACTGAGCAGAGGCTGAAAGATGCAACCACCTCCTAAAAGGTGTTGGATACTTGAAATAGTCCAGATGCTTCTTTAGTCTCAACCACAAAACAATAACATTTATGTCTTTGACACTAAAAAAGGCTCTTTGGTGTGTTAAAATATGGAGTTATGTATTGAAAAGCACCGGTCAGCACCCGTCATCCATTGTGCTTGAAAACAAGGGTTCACAATGGACATTTCCACATAGCCCACGGGTTCAAAAAACGTGAGAAGGTTTATAAAACAAACCACATTTTCACATGATCGCCCTCTTTTCCCGGTGCTTGTCATACAAATATGTGCACGTGATGCACATATGATTGTGGCATACTTCAGAGGGAAAAAAACCCCCCAACTACTCCACACAGTGACTGCAGATAACTCAGCACATGAGAGCGGCTCTTGAGGGGCTCTGACCTCCGGACCGGACTAAAATTAGCATGCGGAGCCTGTGAGACAGCTGCGCTTCCATGAAAAGCCCAAAACGCCTTTTCTCCAATGGATGCACAATTCCGAGCGAGGAAGTTGGGCGAGAATGGGCGGCTACTGCATTGGCCAGCTCCCAAATGATATTCTGCAGGGTGGTTACTCACCATACTCTGCTGTGATTGGCTGAAGACAATATTACTGCAGCAAACTTTACCAATCTCACTTCATATTCTAATCCCCCTTCTAATCATATATATATATATATATATTTATTTATTTTTATTTTTATTTTTTTCCAAAAATGAGCATCAACGATGAGCCCAAATTCCATTTAATCAAACGTGCTAATGTCTGGAATGAAAAATGCAAACGAGTCAAAACCCCAACCATCACATCCACCCTGAGGAAACACAATGCATCAGAACAGGAGCCCGTTTACCGTAAACCAACTGAGAAAACCATGAACCTGCCAAAAACCAGACAACAGAGCTCCGGCTTGCCACGCGGCTCCGAGAAAATTAGGATTGGGCAGACGTTCTGTCAATAGCCTCCAAGTGATCATTAACAATGTTAAGTTAACACACCAGAATCAATAATCCAGCAAGATGAAGTGAGTAGGTTGGCCGAAAAGGGACGGACAACAGACAACTGGTAACAGCTGCATTCAGCCCCTAAAACCCAGAAATGCCATTTGGACTCAGGGTCAGTTTGCCATAACGTTGGCTGTGATTACTGAGATTTGTTGCTAATCCCCCCCCCCACACCTGAAAAGAAGACCATCTGTCTCCATGTGTAAATTAGCTACAGAGCAGACTATGGCTTAATGCCACTGTCGAGGTCATGTGCACTTAAAGAACAGGCTCAGACAGTAACAAAAAGACAAAAACAAAAAGAAGCTCTTTGTATAGAAACCCAGAAGGCAAGCCATTCAAGGCCTGATGTGCCGTGTAAAAGGGCTCTTTAGTTAAAGATTAAACGACCGGCACATGTCTAATGATCCACGTAAACACATCATTCTCTGCTATTATTTCTTTAGACTATCACAGGCTGCTTAGGTTTTAAGGATTAATACTTCTTGCAAATGTGAGCCCAGCATTTCTGTAAGTAAATGACGAAAGCAGATTTTGCTGTCACAAAGTAAAAAAAGTCAACAGAAAATTCCATTATTGTGCCTGATTAAGTAATTTTACATCAATACATATATATATATATATATATATGTATAACCTTATTTTAGATACCCAGCATGTTAAAATAACCTATATAATATTTGCTTTAAAAAAAAGAAAAAGAAAAGAGAAGATCACAAAGGTCAATTGAAAAATGAACCTTTGAATTGACCTGTGTGATATTTTCTTTTTTTTGGATACATGGTGGATAGAAAGATAAAGCCATCTATCTTGTTGTGGAAATTCAGAAGCAAAAGTCTGAGTCCGTTCAAGAGAATAAGCGATGGAAAATATATTAAAGGGAAAAATTCATGAACGGAGAGCAACCAGGCCGTGCCATGCAACGTATCAAGCTGCTCCAAAGTAAAACAAAATCATAGTACATTTTATACCCCTCTCTGAGTCTGAGAAGATGGGTAAAATCTGTCTCCCATCATAGAGTAATCGGCACCTGTACCAAACAATCCTCCAGCCAAAACATTAAGAGATAAAGCATAAGGAGACCCTCTCTGAGACCTAGAAGGAGGAATGAGTCCCACGAGAAAGAAAAAGAACCTTTAAGATATTCACTTGTGGAAAGTTACCAAAGAGAATAAGAAGAATAGAAAAGAAAATTATCATAAATATATTGATTACCCCCACAGTTGTCTTAGACTTCCCTCTAGAAACACACCAGCCAGCACAACTGGGAAGTCTTACCGATGGCCGTTTCTGGCATGGCGAACAGGGTCTTCTCAGTGGCCACTCGGAACCTTCCATGGACTGACAAGCCTACACCCTGCAGGTGTGGGAAAACAAAAGAATCACAGAAAGAAAATGAATAAATACATTTAAAAAACATCACTGGTCAAGGACACAACCCCCAGATCATTAATAACCGTCACCTCTGCAGAGAGCTGGACGTTTGGACCAGACTGGTTCTGTATTTCGAGGTCCCAGATTGTGACAAAGGAAAAGAGGGATCGAACTGATAAGGCTCTATGTTTGCTACATAAGTGAAGTTACTTTTTAATGACTTACACAAACTCTGTTTAGCTCTGATGTTGAGATATTTCTTCTGAAAGGCCTCTCTCTCTCCAGCACACACTGCTGGGCCTCATCATTTCCCCCCCCCCGGTGCTCGGCTTCCCTCAGGTTGATTAAAATCATGTGAATCACCTTTTAATCTAGTGCTGCAGAGTTGTTTATCTATTTTACCTCGCGTGTGAGTCATTGGTGTGGCTCCTTGCTGGGGGGCAGGTGAAGGATAATGAGCCGGGGTTGGCCGTAGGACACCGTATGAGCTCTATTTCTGTTTGAACGTGTGCATACGTGGGTGTGTGTGTGTGTGTGAGAGCCTTTGAGAGAGACGGAGAGATTATTGGGCTACCTGCAGCATCTCTTTGCAAACATTCATGGACATGCGTGCATGCTCAGAGGGAATCGGTGTGTTACTCTATGGTTTTATGAGGGCTTGGACATCTAAATACAATTGAGTGTTTTTCCTAAAAAGACATTTTGACAGATGAAAAATGCACTTGCATTAATGCAAGCGAACTCACCATTGGGCAAACGAAGAGCGTAGATCATGGTAAATGTTATTACTGATTGCAAATTCATCAACCTCAAACTTCATATGGAAGGATAAAGTTTAAGACTAAAACAATCCGCATAATTATCACTCCAACAGGACATGATAATACATTTATTTGAAATGATTGTATCACATTAGAAACATCTAATTTCTGTCAAACATATTCACAATTGAATTATTAAAGTGCTCTTTAATAATAGTTGTTCTGCCTGTAGGGAGGTTTTTCAGAGTTTTCCTCCTGGGACTGGCTAACGGTTTACTAATTCCTGTCCAGTTTTCATATCGGACCATTTTTCATGGTGTTTCAAGATTTCTGAGCGTATAGATGTTATTAATATAACAAACAAGTAACATTTAAAATGCCTAGACTACAAATACAAGAACGCTCTACTTAAAACAGAAAGCAGAAACATATCAAGTCTGCTCCGTTTCTATTCTAGTAATCAGTTCTTCACTCTTAGGGCTTATATGTTGGGACCAGACTCCTGTGTGTATGGGAGCAGGGCCATTTCCTGTGCAGGTTACAGGAAAATTCAATATGTCAATGACAGGCTGTGATTTGACAGTGGCCATCAGATTCTTCCCCTGACGGTTCACATCTACACCAACAGTCCCGAGACACTAGTGATCCTTTAAAGACATGAAAAAAAAAAGGAAAAATTGCCACAAATTGGCAGTGTCAGCTTAAGTGTACCTGCTTTTATAAATAAATGTTACAAGAGTCCAGGTATTTTTTTTCCATCCTGGTGTTTCTCAACTCTGTGCACAGTCACACGGTGTTTCTCTCACATGCAGTCCTGTAATTAAGACGTCAAACATCTCCAATGAGCGGTTCGGTTTCAACAACACCAAACTGCTTCAGATCCAAAACGTTAAATATTTATAGGCTGCCCTTCGATATCCAAAAATAAATAAGATCCTTCTAAATAGATCCATTTACCCGCCTGGCAAGTAGCCAAAACAGGAAAACCAAAAACTCTACTCCACAAAAACAAAAAGCCTACTGGTCAACCTCTGACCAGCTCCTTTTAGTTACAAGATCTAAAATCCTCTTACTTCATTAACTTGATTTTTAAAAAAGTTATTCCAATGTGCACAAACGTACACTGACAGGCAAATTCCTCCTTCAGCATCAGACTCAGATATGGAGTCAAGGAAACAACCAACCAGGGGAACTGTGCATAGCACTAAACCTAGAATATATAAGTATGGTACAGTAAAAAAACAAACAAATAAATCATGGTTTGTATTGCAGTTACAGAGTGCCAAGGCCCATGGAAGACATGGTCAAACAAGACTGGACAGGAAATGGCAATGTTGACCTTTTTATAGGCACATGCAACCTATTTTCATTCGATTTAATCAAAATGTTAAAAGCAAACTAAAAGATTGCAACAGAGCATCAACATTGCAGTTGCAATTATGAGTAATATGCCACTAAAACCCATGTGAAGTCTCCTGATCTCCTTTACAGTGCTGTACATGTGGAGGCGTGATTCTCTAGCTACAACTCAACAAAAGAAGCGGTTGGTGCAGAGCTAAGGACAAAGATTCAGACCACAAAGTTCAGACCTTGAAACGATTCACACGGAGAAATTGCACAAGTCTGTTTAAAGGAAATGAAACTTTTCAAGGATCAACAAAATTGCAAATGTCTCCTGTTTTGATCCAAAGATGTCGGGAGGTTTCTGAAACACAAAATGTAATCAAATACATTTCTGTTCCCGGGTCCTTGATCTCCTCCAAAATAGGCTAAAATCACCCTTCATTAGAAAAAATAAAAGGGTTAAATAAGATATTGTTAGCTTTTATAGTCAAACAAAAGCATTATATGATTAAACATGGCAGCTGCTTTTGTCGAATGAGGAGAAAAAGACTGAAGACAGAGAAAAGGAGGGTGCAGAACGAGGAGCCGGGCAATCTCACCGCGCTCGGAGTTTAGCCATAAAAGTAGTGGAATATTGTTAAATGTTGTCCCGTTTCATCAGCCGCCATATACGAGCATGTCTCCAGCTCCTGCTGTAAACAGGAACGACTCGCAAAGTGCAGACAAGTGTGTTTATGGCTCTCCCTTACAGAGATAATGGGCTGCAAAATTTACAGCGTCCCACCGAATGGCGTTCCCTGCCAAGGAAAAGAAGTGTTTGAGAAACACTTGTTAAATACTGACGGAAACAAGGGGGGCTGTTTTCATCCGTTACTGGGGCCAACCTGCTCAATGACTTCATAAGTCTTTCAAACATCATTAGACGTCGGTTTTTAATAATTCACCGGCAGGATTAAATTGGCCTGTAAGAGTGGGACTGTGTGGAAAATATTCACACTTTTCAGTTTGTGTGCAGAAACCCGACTCACAACTAATATAGCGATGCACATCCCGAGTAAAAGGGTGTCTGTTTGAAAAGGCCCAGCTGTTTCCACATCACTCTTTCGCAAAGTATGTCCTTTCAAAACAAGTGCTGTGCTCTGCTTGAAAACTGGAACGCCCCGATAGCAGCGCGGCTCCAGGCCCGTTTAGGCAAAAAGTGCTCACCGGAAGACGTGGACATCAGCAAAGCAGCAGCTATTGGAGTCACACTGAAATATGTGTATCCATTAAACTACTCCTCTATCAACCATAGATCATCAATCTGTACAACACCTCCCCTCAGACAGTCAGACACCCCCCCTCTGTAAATTCTGACTAAATTCTGACATTATCATTTTCACTTATTTTAGACCTATATATACAGATATAGTTACTTATGTATATATTAATTTATATTTCTTGTTGAATTTTGTATACATGTATAGACATGTATATACTGTATGTATATGCTGTTTATTTCTGGAGTTACTAACAAAAATAATTGCCCTCTGGGATTATTAAAGTATTTCTGATTCTATTCCAGACAGGCAATCTGACAAATTGTTTTTAATTTTCTGCATAAGAGAGAGGCTGTGTCTCTTTGGGTGTAACTCAGGGCGGACACAGATTGATAACCTTAATAACCTTAATTCCTTTATTCCTCGGATCTTGAACAACGTGTGTGAGAAGAGATCCCTCTGATAACAGATCCCTCCTTACAGCGCCTGTCTTTGACCCTCCAGGACACGCCTTTTACTCCCCGAGGATTCCTTATCGCCGGTCGCTCTGTGGTGGAGCTCTGCCCTGAACTCAGAGGAGATCTGGGAGTGGGAAATCCAGTGCCGCGTTCCCATATATAGAGCCGGCCTGTTCCAAGCACTCAGCTTTAGGATTGTTTTTGTCTCTGCACAGCCATGACAGCAGAGGTGGAGTGCAAACTCACTGTTTCATCTCATGAGTCAGGCGGTCACAGAAAACAGGAAACAAATTTTTAGATTATAAAGCAGTCCAAACAAACTGATATTTAGCTTTTTTTTGTTTTGTTTTTTACAGGGAGTTGAGCAGTATCAGTTCTAAATAGGACACTTTTTCAATCCATCCAAACTATGCATGATACACTGCTACATCGCATTTCTTGATTTCTTTTTCTAATTAATTAGAGCATCTAGAAGATTCATCATCATTATGAATGTGTGATAACAGGGAAATAAACTAAATCATGGTTAGCTTTTTCCGGGATTCATTTCTGCCCGACGATGAGGCCAAATCTGCCAGCGTAAAGGTCAGCTCAGCCGTTAAGGTCCAAATGCATCCACCCAGAAGGAACGCAATATTGCTCGAGCTCTTGTAATTCTGTTAAAAAACAAGCTGTGCCTTTTTCTTTCATCGTTTTGATATCTGACTAGTGATTCAATCTGCTGTAAATTGGCTATAAACCGCTGGGCCCTTGTGCTCTATTGAGTGAACGCCCTCCTGTATTTTGTTGCCGCTAAGCCCATCAGAACCTGCTAGGGGAGGAGCCTGGGTACCCCTCGGCCCCGTCAATAATCAGTAAATCTCCCTACATGGATTTAAACTGTCTAGGGTAAAGTCTACAAAGGAAATCTGTTTAATGGAAGTGGGTGTGGCTTATTTTACAGAAGAATACATTGACATATACATATGCATATGCATATACGTATGTTGTTTGGGTGACATGATTGGTTTTTCTCACCATACATTGCTAAAAATCTGAATTCTGACTTATATCGGGTATATGTCAGAGCACAGAACTTCCAGCTGACAGCACAGAGGGAGGGCAGCTGGCGGGAGAAGGCCCTCTAGGCTCAGACTGTTCATATGAAGGACATATGTTTGCATCCAGTCCCCAACCACCACACCCTGCATTAAGCTAGTTATGCTTAAAATCCTCAATCCCAGAAGCAAATTCTAAAAGATAAAATAAAATTTAAAAAACGGAAAGAGAAACAGACACACTGATGCGTCTAGTGAAGGGCGAGATAATAAAGTGGAGTCCTCTGGAGTAATTTAACATTAAACATTACAACTGAAAATGCACAAACAGAAGTATAAGATAAACATAATAAAATGTGAAACATTGATCACAAGTTCTTTTAAATTTTAGTCTAACTCGGTCAATCTACTGCCAACATGACAGCTGTTTCCATCTGAGGGATGACTGACTTTTGTGTTGTGAACCAAACCCACTATTAATCATTCTGATTGGGCTCGTCTGGTTAAACATTAGTAACGTAATAAAGCTCTGCGGCATCTTTGATAACAATCAGTAAAGATAAACATTGTTGTAGTTCTAGCTGTATTTATTAGTTTATACTGCTTATTGTGTGGCAAAGGTAGCAATTCAAATTCCAAGCACATCTGACACCTGGAGGGAAAAACCAGCAGGAAAACATTTTTTGTCACTTCATATTTCATCCAATCAGAGGCCACCTTGCCACTGGCCTGGTTAGCAAGGCACGCGGCTCTCTGCTGACACCTCCTGTTGGGATTTATTATTCCCCTCCCAATTTTGCAATATAACATACTGTTATATACTGTTTATAACACAGAAATATAAAACTTCATGATTCATGATGTATTAGAACGTGTCACTCACCCCTCCCATTGTTATGCCGTCGATAATGGCAATGTACACCTTCCTGTAGGTCCCTGAAATAGATCCATACCAGTGAGACACATTAGTTACCTTATTATGTGAAATAAGGTGGATTAACAACATTAAAGTATAGAAATGGTGAATGCAATAATCAAGTCATGAAAGCATACCAATGGCGTTGTTCAGGATATATTCCTCACGAAAAAAGTCCTGAGCTAAGGAGTCGCCAGTCTTTCCCGCTTCTGTGACCGCTGAGGAAAAAAAACACACACACCAAACAGCGATGTAACACAACTGCTAAAGTTATGCAGCCAAATCCTAACCGACTCTAAAAGGTGAGCGCTTACCTCTGATGTCTCCGCCGGCACAAAAGGCCTTTCCGCCTGTTCCCTTAATAATCACCAGGTCAGTCTCACTGTCGTTTTCCCATTTCTAGAAACACCCACAAAAAAGTACAAAAATTTAACTGAAATGAACAATAACTCAATAGAACTCCACCTCACGCCGGCCAGACCACTGAAATCATGGCATCATAACTGAAGAAAAAACCTCTTACAGTTACTAAACCATCTTTTTTTTCTAATCAAGAAATGATGAATAACCTACAGTGTCTTTGAGAGAAGGAGGCTCAATCCCAACTAACACTCTCAGGTTTTCCAGTGAGTACCAGTGCATCTAATCATGAGACCACTGTGGACTCTACAAAAATACACTACTTTTCGAATCCAAAGTGCAATGGAAGTGAAATATTTGTAATTGTACATGTTGAGAAAAGTTTGTTTGGTCCTGAATAATAATACTGGCTTTATTGTTAATGTAAAAAAATGATGTATGCATTTTTGGAAAAAAAAAAAAAAAAAAGTTTCACTTTGTAAGAAGATTGTGATATAATTTCAAAGCAGAAACATCAAGCATGTTATTTAATATGATATTTTTTCCACTGGCCATCGTGAAAAGGATTAGGAGGAAATTATCCAAAAGCAGGATCATTTAAACTCCTCAAATCTTGGCCTTCAAGCCCGTATCATACTACAAGTCAAACTCATCATATATCTTGACCCCGAATCGTAAGTAAATAAAATGTTAAAATCTGATTCTGTCTCGGATTCAGTATAAACATGGCAGTGACATTTCTACAGCAGTTCCATCATTTGAACCCAATTCATGTAATGAACTGGCTCTCCCTTTTAAATCCCAAATGCCCCAAATGCTCCTCCCTTAACTCAAAGAGATGCATCAGCACAGCTCATTGACTTAACCACCTTAATTCAGCCCTAATTCAGCCTTAATTCAGCGTAACATGGCGGGTCATGAGGGATTTCTTCATGACCCGGGGGATTTCCTCACAGTGGTGTTAATTCACTCAAGTGACATTAACAGTCCAGACAAGCACTCTTAAGATATGATCCATTTTTAATGACTTGCTTCAAGTGCTTCCTAATGAAATATACCAATTTGAGATCCAAAAGGTATTCTTAGTATTAGTATTTGTTCTTAGAATTAGTCAGAAACATCTGCCAGTCTGTCTCGGCCACGTCAGGTTCTCAAATGAGGGCAGCAAAATTATTGTCGGCCGTTTAATTCGGTCTTCAGGAACCTATTGTTTCTGCAAGCCTGACAAAAGTTTGGTCATTTTCTGCTGTCTTAGCTGTCCTTTCTTGGTAGTAAAAGGTCTCCCAGCTATGCAAAACGCTGCATTCCTTGACCACACTTCAGAAAAAAAAAGATAGAGACCATCACAGTCCTTTGGGCCCATAACGTTGTCGCTCATCTTAAATATATTGTACCTTAAGTTGAGGGTAGATTTGCCGGATCATAGTCAGATTGAGGGCATTGAGGACTTTGGGCCTGTTCAGTGTGATCACACCAGCCCGACCCACTTTTTCCAGGAGAACCTCCGGCTCCACATGACTGGACATCTGTGGCAAAAGGCAGAAATCTTACATGCTAAACTGACTGAAAACTTTATGGGAGGAGGACTTGAGCATCGCCATTGCAGATGAGCCACTCAAAAGTTGGTGGAAATGAATATGAAAATGCAACATGCAATGGAAATGTCACCAATAGGAACAATCTGAGAGCAGCTTCTCACCATGTGCCCTTGGATTCTCTGCAGTCTGTAAAGGGATTTCAGTCTGAGGGAAAACAACCACAGAGGTCAGACATTCATAACTTTCTCGGGCACAAAGTGTAAAACTACAATAAAAACATCTCCATTGGTCCGGTTGCTAAAGTCTCTGTTGCTGTCATTGTGTGGAGTACTTCTCTATAGGGCCACTCTGAAAAGCTGTGCTTGTTAGCCGTGCTTGTTACTAAATTCGTCACCACCTAAATGTAATTTTAGTATCAAAGCAAAACAATAACTTGGGTATAAAGGTCGACCAGCTGCCAACGAGTCTAAGGTTAACGGTCCTAGTTTTCTGTCAGCACACCAAGGACGGAAAAACCTCCTTGTGGGATAACAATAAATGCCGGCAACTATACCTGGAAGCAGTTGATAAAAGTGTTAAGGACATTATTACTTTGTGCTCAGGACCAGTCTTGGTCTCGCAATGGTCACTTTTCTCTCTTCTCTGGTCTGTGAGTTTACTTCCTGGAAAAAATCAAGGAGCTGGCGCTGATTGGTGGTAATGAAAGACGTCATATGGGGCGGTCTCACCATCGATTGAGAGTCGTTTCTTTATATATTTGAACCACACTGCCCTCTACTGGACTCCATTTAAAGGACAGTGACTTTTAAAACAATTTCCAATTCGATTAATGAAAAAATCTCAAACTTTTGTAACTCAATTTTAGGGGGAACACCATGGAAAATCATGGCAGGAACGTATTTGACCTCAAAGCCATGGTTATTTTAGTCATGGGTTGCAATCAAAACAAAAAGACAATGGGCAAAAACAATCTTTGTATTGAAACATCGGTCCATTTCTATACCGCTTATTCCAAATGAGAGGCTATAACCTGTCCCAGCTGACAGCAGGTGAAAATGTTTAATTATATTTAAATATATATATGACACATTTTGTCTATTTGTGAATAGGGTCCCTCTGTAGTAGAGAGGAAGGCTATATAGAAGGTAAACAGACGAAGGGTGTGTTGAAGGTGAACAGAGGAACAATACTGTTCAGATAGGGAGCAATAAGAAGACTTATTTTGCCGGTTGTTTGTTTGAAGAAACCCTCTTGGATAAATTGAAGATTGGAATCCTGAAAACTGTATTTACTATTTTAACCACATTACATTTTCAAAGTTCAAAACAACTAGAGTTAGAACTTCTAAAATGGCAAAACAACCACAAATGCATTAAATAAAGTCTCAGGGACTCGATAGACCTATTTGTGTGAATTTCTCATCGATGTTTTTCCATATTTCATCACTTTCCAAAAGATTACACTAACTCTTATACATTTCTTGTCTGAACAAGAAATGTTTGCTCTGAAAATGACGCAGTGGAATATGGGTGTAACGCACCAGTAATCTCTCATGACCACACAGAGTGAGATAAGATAAACTGTGCATGCAGGTTGTGATTCAGAACTATAATCAAGGTGTGGCAGAGCAAACACACTCAGTGGCCTTACCTGGGCAAAGAAACGCGAAAGGAGTGATGGATGACAAAAAAACAGACACCCAATTGTTTAGTTTTTTAAATCGATTGTGCACAGAGGGCAGTTCGGTTCCAGTCCTCCCATGACTTCAGCAAAAACATCGTTCCATTCACAGAGATCTTTAATAACTTTCCACATTTTGCTGGTTATAGTTCAACAGAGTGAATACATTCTTTTTTTAACATGACAAAGGGTACCATCAAAACCTTTTTACATGCAGATATTTTTTTTTTAGATAAAAGCTGGCATTTTCCATTGGGAAGCAACCACAGTGCATCAAAACCACTATCAGATATGGCAGGAGGATGAAGGATTCCAGGTTCTAACTGTCATCTTTCTTTCAAATCCAAGTATTTCCATTTAGTCAGAGTCACTGCTGCTGCAGGAGCTGCTGGAGGACTATAACGAGAAAAAAACACACAAAATGGTGACATAAAAGACTGCTTTTTGAATATTAGATATATAACTGGCAATATTGGCCTGCACTCTCTTTGAAAATAATCTTACCCCGTGGCCGTCTTTCCCTTTCTTGTGGCAATTGGCATGCTTGTGGCCATGCTTGTGCTTGTTCTTCTTCTTCTTCTGCTTGTCCTTTTGTCCATGTCCGTGGCACTGTCCATGTCCCTGGCACTGTCCATGACCATGACCATGACCATGACCATGACCATGACCCTGGCACTGTCCATGACCATGACCCTGCCCCTGGCACTGCCCTTGGCCATGGCCATAGCCAGGTCCAGGTGCGGGGCCAGGTCCGGGGTAGGGAGGGCAGTTTGACATTTGCGGATATGGGGGGTAACCCCCTGGCATCTGCTGAGGGTTGTTGGGGTATCCACCAGGCATCTGCGGAGGATTGCCCCCTGGATACTGGTTTCCTAAACATGACGACAAAAAAAGAGAACCACCAATGCATACCAAAGAAAAACCACCAAAAAAAAGGCTTTTCGAGAATAGAACACGAAACGCATACAAGTGTGAGTTGTTTACCTTGATTGTGCCCGTACATGTTCAAAATTCAGATGAAACTAGCTCTGAAAGGGAAAAATGGCATTTAAAAGAATACAAGAAAACCTTACAAAAACATCACAAAACACAGATTGCGAATATTTAGCGGTTTCAGAAGTGGACTTACAGAGAGCGGGGGACAGGTCTGATGATTTTTATGTGCTGTTCCTTTTTATGTGTTGCTGCACCTCAAGGGGCAGTGTCTTAACTTCTTTACAATCCCTTTTTAGATCGTGACCTACATGAGTGTGTGTAATTATTAACATCCATATCAGCTATGACCAGTATCATGAGAGATGCACACCCTCCTCCCAACCACTGCAGCACTCTGATTTCCATGTTTTCACAGTTTTCCCAGCATTAACTTCAACATTTAAGTGGACAAACACTGCTGCTTTTACCAAAGTGTGAAAGATGAGGGAAATTGGGATGAACTGTTTGATCATTTTCAGCCTCAAAATGACTGAATCCATAAATACTCACACTATTGTCCTGGCCTGGACAGGGGTACAGATCTGTATGCGGTCCTTCAACATTTAGATGTAAAACTTTCAGATTACAGCGTGAAAAGGCTAAACATATAATGAATTAGATATATGCAGAAGATTAAGTCAAAAACTGTACTGCAGGTGGAACTGTAGGGTGTGTAACCGACAAGAATTGCTGAACAAAGGTCCTAATTTAATCTTCCTTAGGTACATAAGGACAAGGATAACCCAAAATAAAAAAAATAAAGAATTATGCGAGACATTTAAAGTCAAACAGATAACAGAGAATCAGAGGCAGCTTTTTAGGGATTAGTTTTCTATTCATAAACACATTTTCACATATTTTAAAACGGGAATCATTAAGACCGTAATTTATTCAATGTACAATAGGCAATAAGACAACAGCTTTTTACAAATATTCTGTTAATATACTGTTTTGGTACAATTAAAAGAAGAAGCAATACTTGAATGTTTGTTGTTGATCCTGTTAATTATGCATTTATATTCACTCTAAATAGTAATGTGGATGTCAGATAATAGGTTTATGAAAGGTCATTGTATCAGATAACAGTTAGATCTTATACTGTTAAGACTCGACTTCACAGTGTTCAGACAGTTTATTATTTGATTGTCTTTGTGTTTAGTGGTTTGACCTTATGCGTACAACCAAAAAACTGAACTTCAAGGGTGTCACAATGTTGAACCAGTTCTTGGAAGCATGAGGGAAGGGCAGTTATGATATGTGAGAGGGACAAATGTTTTATATCTGGTCAGATCTGGGACACAGATCTAGGTTAGCGTAGGACGGTAAATAGTGAATGAATCAAATCTCTTATTTCCAATATGGAACTACTTTTTTTCAAGTTATTCGAAAAAAATAGATTACAACCAGATTGAAGAAAGTTTCCTAAAAAATCCCCCAAAACAACTGTAGTTAGTTTAGAATTCTTCTGGCTCCCCACCAGAGAGGTGGCCTCACACGTCCAGAGAACCAGCTTCTGTGGTCGAGGGTCAGACCACTAAGGGCCCCGCCTTCGGCCTGCCCATGCCAGATTGACCCGACCCCTTTGGCCCTTCCCACAGGTGGCAAGCCCATCTGAAGGGGAACCCATGTCCCCTCTCTGGGCTCCATGAGTGAAAACCTGGCCACCAGGCGCCCCCCAGCATGCCCAACCCCCAGGCCTGGCTCAAAAGTGGGACCCAGGTGACCCGCGTCCAGGTCAGGGAAAACTGATTCCATCTATGTTTTTCATCATGAGGGGTTGATACACGTCTTATTGTTTGTCATTTGTTTTTCATCAATATTACACTATAAAGTCAAGAGGAGTTATCTTAAAAAGAACTTAGTTGAGTCAGAGTAATGTTAGAATTGGGCTATAATTACTCGCTTTAGCATAGTATGTTATAACTTAATCCATATAAATTACTTTTATTCTTCTTCCTTTTTAGATTTATATTATTATACTTTTAGGTTAAACTCTCTGGCTGTGCCTACTCCTCCTCTCTCAGTTACAGTAGATACACGTCTTCAAGTTCAACATTAACACTTTCTTATCAAATTCCACCAAAACCTGCATGAATTAGGACCTGGCCTGTTCGTGTCAGAGCTAACTGGCCAATAACACTCGGTTGCGTCCAGCCATCCTCCTGTTCGAGGCCCGGAGGATAACTGTCCATCACACCCCGAAATCGGGGCTCTTCCCAACTGAGATCCTCCGAGAACTTTGTCTGTGAGAGCCCAAAGCCGATTTACTTTGCTTGTGACCAATAAATTTCATATTTATACTCTTGATCTACTCTGGTTCATTCTCAGGCTTCCAACTAAAGAATCGGACTAACAGTAATGACAGGAAAAAACATCCACAGCATGCCCCCAAATGGGGTTTGGGAATATATATGAATGAATGCATAAGATTCCAAAAGGGGATGTTGTTTCACGCCATAACATTATGATCCTCGCTTCCCAACGTGGGCAGAAACATCAGTCATCGTTACCGCTTATTCCCGAATGGGGGCGAGGGGGGAAACTGGAGCCTGTCCCAGGGCTCAATGGGTGAGAGGTGAGGTACACCCTGGACAGTCCACCAGTCCATCACTGGGCCACACAGAGACACACAACCACGCACACTCACACTGAGGGCAGTTTGAAGTGTAAAATCAACCTAACATGCAGGTTTTTGGACGGTGGGAGGAAGCCGGAGAACCCGGAGAGAACCCACAGACACAGGAGAACATGCAGACTCCACCCAGAAAGGTCCTGGTTCCCCCGGGACTCCAACCCAGAACCCTCTGGTCCTGGTTCCCCCGGGGACTCCAACCCAGAACCTTTTGGTCCTGGTTCCGCCGGGGACTCCAACCCAGAACCCTCTGGTCCTGGTTCCCCCGGGATTCCAAACCAGAACCC